GGTGTAGGGGTCGGTATGTATTTTTATACTGTAGGCAAAGCAGGGCCAATCTGGGATATTTTATGTTCAAGTCAAATTGCGAGAAAAGTTTTTCGAACCGGATATATTCCAGTAATGTCAATTCCTCAAGCCAGGTGGTGTTGAACATTTCGTCAATAATGAAACTTTCACCAACTCCCCTCTTAAGGTTTTTTATGCTCAACTTTCTCAATTTTATATCGGTGAACAAGTTTGAGTACTTAATTTTCAGGTCTANGAATGCGAGTAGATCATTGTTTAATTTGTTGTATTAACTTCTACATTCATATTTATTGAATACGTATCTTTAAGATACGACTCATTGTTTTATAAGTTTACTAACGTAATCTTGAATATAAACAAGATCATTGTTCAATTTGTTGTTCAATTGTTGTAGTTGTTTGATGTTGTGGATTAGCAAGGTTGACTCTTGCTTGTATTTTTCGATTTGCTCAATCTTCTCCCTCTTAGCATCATCAGCATCTACAGTCACAGAATCAACCTGTGCTGTATCATCTCCGTTATCTTTGCTCATGTTTTGTTGTGTAGTTGCCGTAATTTAACTAATTTTATTTTTTTTTTGTTGATAAAAAATAGGTCATGAATTAGCACCACAGCGAACACCGACACCACCGACACATTATACACCACAATTTACTATCAATGTCTTGGGGTGGGTTCAAAAAAGCAATCAATAGGGCGGGCGCATCCGTCACGGTCAAGAGTGTCGACAAAGTCATGGACAAGGACTATGATGTCGAGGAACGAAGATACAAAACATTGAAAACGGCCGGGGAGAATCTACAAAAATCGTCAAAGAGCTACTTGGACAACATTAGAGCAGTTACCAGGTCGCAAGTTGTCATTTCAGAAATTGTATCCAACCTTTACGAGGAGTCGAAGCAAGGAGGATCCTCGTATACCGATATCGGAACAGCCTACCAGCAATGCGTTCAAGAATTTGACGAAGAGACAGTAAAACAGTTGGATGGTCCATTTAGAGAAACTGTATTGGATCCAATTACCAAATTTGCGCACTACTTTGTTGAGATTGATGAAGCCATCAAGAAACGTGCTCATAAAAAGACAGACTACGAACAGTGCAAGTCGAAGGTGCGAAGACTTATCGACAAGCCAGCAAAGGACGCTGCCAAGTTGCCTAGGGTCGAGAAGGAGTTGGCTGTAGCAAAGGAGATATACGAAGATTTGAATGAACAGCTAAAGAATGAGTTGCCTCAATTGATTGCTCTTCGAGTTCCGTTTTATGATCCTTCGTTTGAAAGTTTGGTCAAGATCCAGTTGAGGTTCTGTACCGAGGGTTATTCGAGATTGGCTCAGGTCCAACAGTACTTGGATCCTGCATCTAGAGATGAATACGCTAATGGAATATTGGACGGCAGGATTGATGAATTATTAGGCCAAATGCAAAGCTTGACTATAACTTCGTTAGCTAAATAGTTTAATAATAATTGTATTTTTTGCAACACTTTTTTTCTTTCTGCCCAAACGAAATGTCTTTTAAGGAGAACGTATACCTGGATGACCAGAGTGTTGTAATCAATAGAGACGGAAACACAGAGGGTCATCAGAATGATACTTTGAAATCGACAGACATCCAATACCCATTGACAAAGATCAATTCCAACACATATCAACCCAATCGCATCGAATCTACCATCAACGCAAGACAAGCACCTGCTCCAGAGCAACCTGTTTTCAAAGCAGAACCAATCAACAAACCGGTTAGTGTTTCCAGTGCTGATGAATTTTACGAAGCTTCACCAATCCTTGAAGAGGAGGAGATGTATTTCCCTACCCTCCTCGATGAAACTAATTATCCGGTGGTTCACGTCCCAGTTCAACCCCATATGTCAAAACCATTGAACAAGTTTGCCGACCTCAATTTAAAGAATATCCCCATAGCGCAAACGCCGAAATCATTTCCATTAGATTCACAAGGGGCCAAGGACCAAGACGAAATTGCTTTGTATGATATTATGGAGTACGAGTTTGAAATGGTTGATGAATCACCGGCATGGTGGTCACCTAAAGATCACTGGTCACAGTTTGTTCACCATGAGGAGGATGTCAAAGTGAAACAGTCCTTGATTGGAGACGCCAATTTGGATCAAATCTTCGACAACATCTATAACAGCTAGTGGATGTTTTGCAGCTGGGCATACAATGCTGCGCCTTCCCAACACCCCATGCTTTGTCGAGTCTCAAATTTTTGCTTCTCAGGGGTTAAATCTGTATGGATATATTCATTGCTATCATCACCCAACACTACAATTCTTTCTCGTAGTTTCCTCCTCAAGTCAATTGGTGATTCTCCAACAGCTTCATCAACCAACTCTTGAATGATATCGTGATTCTTGCTTAACAAGTTGACTCTCGTGTCCTGCTTGGTGACGATCTCTCGCAAGTCACTCACAACATAAATCTTGACACACTCCATTGTAAGGTAGACAACCAATGCGTCTCTCACATTTGCACCTACTGTAGATAGTACTGAACAAGGGAGAAATATCACTGTTTTCACCTGCAATCCAACTAAAGTGTCGTGTATCACAATTTTGAACTTTTCGGAAAAATCATGATCCACGACAAACGCCAAATCATCCGACAACTGATACTGCAACATAATCTTATGGACAAGTTTGCTGACAAGTTGCAGAGAGGAGGCTTCATCTTTCAATGGTAGGAAATGGCCCAACGTCTTTTCATACTCTTTCGCCTCCTGTTGAAACTTGGGTAAAAGATTTTTGACAATCTCGGCTCTTTGGTCCTTAGTCACCGAATGGTCATCGAGTTGGTACTGAGGTGGCAAGCGAGGCAAATCTGCAGGATAGTGGAATTCCACGGGAAGTACCCCTGGTTGAACAGAGTCTACTGTATCCGCTTTTAAGTTCGTGCCTGTAATCTCCAACACCAATGGCATTTGTTGATGCTTCGCGTTACTTTCAAAAAAAAAAAAATTGTTTTACTTACAATAAATCTATATCCTCCTCATCAATTTCCATAAACTCCTCGGGTTCTCCCTCAACAACCTCTTTAATATCCTCTTCCGCATGCACTCGGTTATGATGCTTCTGATACGCTTCAAGCTGGTTGATATCCCACACTGACACTCCCTCCTGATCCTTTGGATTAGTTGGCTGGGCCAAACTCCGCAAAAACTTTTTGGCAGTAGCCAATGCCATGTCTGTAGATAAGTTGGTATCAGAGTCATTCAATGCCTGTGCAATCCATTTCGGCAACTGCGCCTTCTTTCTGGCAAACCGCCTATCAGCCAACACCATAATACCATAATCATCCTTGCCTCGCAAAACTCTTCCTAAACATTGAGCAGCATGTCGCATAGCATCGAAAGAAAGAAAGTCGTTTTCCTTAATCTGAAAATGGTCTCTCATAAATTCCAACCTCGCCTTTAATATCCTCGATTCTGTGTATTGAAAGGGGATACCAATCATCAATACTGTTCTACCATAATGATGATCAAAATCGATTCCTTCAGAAACCTTTCCACGCGCCACAGATAACAAGACAGCTCCTCTTCCATTTGAACAAGCTTTTCTATACGTTTCCAACGCCAAAGAGGTTTCCTGAGCATCTGGAGTCTCAACCAAGATAAGCTTATGCTTCCACACCTCGTCCAAGACACCCATAGTCTGCCACATGGAAATAATGGACTCCATGTAGAGATATGATGGGAAAAACACAACCATCCCATCGGGGGTAATCTTGGCAAACTCGATCAAAAGGGATCCATAGTTTCTCACAACAGAAGGGTCATTTCTAATTTCAAACCTAGAGGAAATGGAGACCTGGTCAGATCCCTTGGTAACAATCATTGGCAAAAAGGACCTTCTGGCCAAAGTCATTGCATACGACTCTTGTATCACAGTTTGAAAGTTCAACATTTTCGGATACATATCCAAGGGGGAAATAGTACCGGATGTGATAATCACTGACGAAAACCTTTCAAATACCGGCTTAATGGCAATAGACGCATCAAGACAAGTAAAATGTAGCATTGGATTAGGGACTGTGCTTCCTTCCGTTTCAAATGGTTCCAAAATCAACTGGAACCCAGTGTCGTATGTTGACACCAAGGTGGCAAACGTCGCAATATCCTTCAATGCATTGAAATCCTCAATCTCAGTGAGCTCCAAAGTCTTGACCAACAACGACAACCTTTCCGAACAAAATTTTAACGGTTTTTTATCAATGTAAGTCAACTCCTTCAAATGCTGCAAGAAACTGGTTGGTGTTTCACTAATTACATGCAAGACCTTCATCCTTGTCTTTAAATATTCAATAAATCTCCTTAAAAACGCAATGAAGTGCTCACCCTTTCTGATGTTACCGGGAATAGCTTCGTCTAATAAATCTTGCGGTAGAATTGGATTCGACATAAACATTTCCTGTTCTCTTTCCACTTCGGCTTGACGTAGCCCCTCCACCAACTGCTCATACTCATTCTGCAACTTTTCACTGTCCTGTGCCTTCATATCGTCAACTGCGTCAGCTAACTTGTTTGCTCCTCGCGTAGCTCGCTTTAGAACATCCTCAGTCAAGTCCAACGACAACGACTCAATACAAACGTTATCAATATTATGTGCCTCGTCGAATATAATTATACTATCTTTTGACAACTCCCGTGACACTCGATCGGCAATCTTTGGGTCTAATAAATAGTGGTATGAATAAATAATAATATTGCAGAATGGAATCATTCGACGAACGGTGAAGTACGGACACGTTCCCATCTCTTTGCAGTACCTTATCAACGCGTCAAATGAGTAAACACCCAGCGGGACTAGATCATGAGGATCCAAATCGTACAACTTTTCGTGATACGAGCAGAGACTATACTTTGCTGGATCTCTCAATTGATCCTCCTCTGTGACTGCCCCCTTTTCAATCTTTTCTTTCAACTGCCCATTGGTAACACGTCGGCACATTTCATCCACCACGTTTCCCTTCTTTTCCTGCGATATCAACGGGTTCAAGCATAGATTCTTTCTACTTGTTAGCCCCAATCCCCTGAAATCCTCAACATATCCCAACTCGCCTGCTCTAAACTCCATCAACTTGTGCAACTCAATCAAAGCTTTCTCGATCTCCGACATGGTACGTGAGCAGTACACAATTTTTCTATGTTCTGGATAGTGCATCTGGTACGCCACCGTCAATGACAATAATGAAATGGTCTTGCCTGTTCCTGAAGGCATCTCCAAGATGCAGTTGCCCCCAACATCGAGGGTCTTTTTGATATCGCTCATATACGCATACTGTTCGGGATATATCCTAGGATATGGGAACAACACAGGTAGATCATCGATGTAGAACTTCATTGGAGAAAGAGTTGCTAATACTTTGCACAGGTTTTTCAATACATTTTTACTTTCTATTCTATTTATCCGGTAGCGCTTCTATTAAGCAACAACTTCTCAACTTGAGGGTAGATGATGTCGCTGGTGTTTCCCGAAACAACCCTCCACACACCTCTCTCCTGATAAAACTCGCGTAGTGCACCAATCTTTTCATTGTACTTGTCCAATCTCTTTTGAAAGACTTTGGCATTGTCATCTTCCCTCTTCACCAAAGGTTCTCCAGTGACATCATCCTTAAATGGCACCTTGGGTGGATTATAATCCAAGCTGTATATTCTCCCACTTGGTAAATGAACATATCTCGACTCTATCCTGTTCAATATAATCTTTTGATCAACATCCAATTCGATAACCAAATTCAAGTTTGAGTTATACTTATCCAACACATCGTTCAATTGGTCTGCCTGGTTGCTCGTCCTTGGGAACCCATCTAATAGCCAGCTTGCGCCACGATTCAACCAATTATGGGTCTGCAACTGATCTGTAATCAACCGCACCATCACAGGGTCCGGCACCAACGCTCCATTCTTCAAGTATTTTTCCGCGCTACGTCCAATCTCTGTCCCACTGGCGATTTGCGATCTCAAAACGTCCCCCGAGGATATATATTGCAAATGGGTAAACTTTTTCAAAAGCCTTTTCGAGATGGTACCTTTTCCTGATCCAGGTGCACCTAATAGTAACAATCTTGTCGGTTTCAACATTGGTCTACTCCACAATATCAGACAACAAAATTCGAAATTTCTTTTTTTTTTTCTTTTCTTTTACGCGAGTTTTAAATTATCACGTGAGAATTTAATACATACACTAATTTACACTACTCCTCCTCTTCATCGCTTTCGATAATCCTCCTCCTTTTTCTAGTCTCTTCTTCGGCCGTGCTTTCTCTGTATCTTGCTTGGCCTTGCTCCTTCAATTTACGCAAACGTTCTGCCCCCCTCTCAAACTCTTCTTCTTCGCCCCCTTCTTCTTCTTCTTCTTCTTCTTCTTCTCCCTCATCATCATCATACTGTTCAAGCTCTTCCTCATCTCCAGCTACGAAATCGTCTTCTTCATCGTACTCTTCTCCCTCTGCTTCTCCTTCTTCTTCGTCTCCATTATCGCCATAGGTTCTAGCAAAACGAGCATACGAGCTCTCGCCATAACCTGATGCAGGACTCTCCCCTCTGTCAAATTTTTCCTCTTCTAGTCTTCTCCTACTCTCTAGTTGCCTCTTCATCTTGATCATTTTCCTTTCGTTTTCATCAGCGATTCTTTGCTTCTTCAAAGGATCGTCTTCTGTTGTAGTGCTTAAAATCTTATCCTTGAAATGTATATTTTTCATCACCTGAGTTAGTCTCTTGTGTATCGAGTCATTGGATGCTGGTAACAAGTTGATTGTGTTTTCAATTATCGAGTCCGTTTGCAATATTTCGGCAGTCTTGTAGGATTTTACCAAGTAGTTGTCGGTGATTGGCAAAGTCTTTACGTCAAACATTTCATTACCAATTTTTAAACTCACAGTACCATCATCCCATTGAACAAAATGAGCATTAGACTGTTTGACAATCTCATCGTTTCCCGAATTGTGGTATCTCCATCTAATGGTGCTGGTGTTGATCAACTTTTCCGCCAATTGCTCATTGTATGTCTGCTTGGATGTTAGCCCCCTCTCAACCCTTTCAAGTGCGTTGTTTTCCACTTCTTCTTTAAATGCCGCCGGGTCAAATGGGTGTGGCTCTATGTTTAAATGCATTGGTGTTTTCATTATCTGAGTTCCTTCAGTTACCAGCGCTGCCGCATGCCGAGGTAGCGATAGCTCAAGAATATTCTTCTCCACATCCGCATCGTCGTAGTCGTCGTGGTCACCTTCACTGCCTGACTGGTCGAAATCAAACTGTCCTTGACCTGGATGGACATCTTCAGTTTCACTTTTGAAATACGTCTCATCAACTTGCTGTTCTTCTTCCCCGTCACCAAACAAGTCATCAATCTCCTCCTTCAATCCTGCTGAATTGCTATCTTCGACGTCTGACATGATTGATAACTGTAGACACAATATACTTCCCTTGCTGTATTTACCAACACTTTTGGACGAAATGAAAAAAAAAAATAAAAAGAACAGACAGAGAGAAAAAAAAAACACAAAGTAGCATTATTACAAAAGTATACATTTATAGACATTTACAGAGTAGACTCGCTACTCAACCTTAGCAGCTGCAGGGGAGGGTCCTGAACCGGGTGTAGTTACAACAATAACAGGCTCTTCACTCGCACCATTCTTTGAATCATCAGGCTTCACCTCGCTCCTTTCATTATCAAAATTTATCCTCATTGGACTGTTGGCTAACCTCGACTGGTGGAAATACGACTCTTCAACATCGGAACCTATGTCATTTTCGTCGGATATCTCATAATCCATATCTGATTCAAACGGAATTGATCCAGTGACGTTGTGTTGATAACCCACTACCAAGTCCTCATGATTTCCCGCCGAGCTCAAGCTTTTCGAATGTCGACGATTAAATGGCGGAGGTGCAGGCTGTGCCAGTACTATAGGTTCTTTCAGCAGTAGGTCATTTTTTGATAGCGACGTGGCACTCTCCAAAGGGGTTGTGCTTGTAGAAGTCACTGCGCTCTGCAACGCTTGTGGCGGTTCATTGGGGACAACCTCTTCGCTGGCATCTATTGGCGTCGACTTTGAAGTATGTGTTGGCAAAAGCTTGTACGCGTAGTGAATCAAAAACTCCACAACGAGCTGAGACAAGGCGTATTCTTCAGGGTCTAGATCGTGGTTGGGGTGTGAAAGAATCAGTGGTTGAAAAATGGCTGCCAAATTTCGCGAGCTCATCAAATTCTCCTTCAGATGATTTCGAACCATAGCTAGCAAGTCCAACACATAGAATAATAGTTGCTTCGATGCAACCGGCAAATCATTCACCAAGTGCTTGTAGTCATCAATGGCTGCATGGACATCTCGCGTGAGTTTCTTATAGTTTTTCGACTTTTTCTTGTTCTTGAGCGCAATTTCCTCTTCTTCGGTAGAATTTTGTGGTTGCAATTGCAGCTTATCCAAATGCTGTTTCTGTGGTTGCAATTGCAGTTGTTCTGTTGGCGGCTGAATTGAACTTGTCGGATGCGAAGACACGTTTGAATCGTTGCGCCCCCTGAAATCCGGTACACTATTGCCATTAAACTTTTCGACGTTAGCTTCAGTCAACATCTGGGATTCACTTGAAACGTCTTCCACACTAGCTTGTTTGAGACTCTTTGACGGGTTTTCTGCTTTATACTGCATGTAGCTGATTATTCTTTTCCTATTTCTCAACGGCTCTCTAAAGTCGTCGTACATGTTCAAAGGTACGAGTGGTTCGGGAAGTGCATTTAAATATCTCCGCAAAATAGACGCAGCATCGTGCACTGTATATCCATCCCAATTTAACTGTTTACCAAAGGAGGGCGGCGTGTTGAAAATAACTTGCAAATCTTTAATCCTTTTGGAAGAGCCGCCCACCCTGAATATACCCTCCACGGTTAATCCATTCTTTTTCAAATACACACCACACTTTGCCACCACAATTGGGATTTGTCCATACTGCAAGCCATCAGATTGATCTCCGGTGAGAATGGATATTTTTGCCGACGCTTCATTCAAAGCCTGTTGCAAAGGAACCCCAAAGTACTTTGAGTTTTCATCAACGAGGGCATTGGTTTGCATGAAGGAGTCTCGGTGCTGGCGTATACTACTCTCCGACTGATTTAAGGAGTTTGACCTCACTCTTGATACGTTGTTGGTTGACCTTGACTTGTGATTGAGTAAGGGGCGCAAGAAATCGGAATGATGACTCGATCCTGTAGGTGATGTTCCAAAGAAGTTGCCCCCATGGTTGTGATGACTCTGCTGCTGCTGCTGCTGAGAGTTATTGAACGAGTTTTGCGAATCTGAGTTGACCTGTGTGTTGTGGGCATTAGCATTTGGGATGTTTAACGGGCTATGCTGAGGAGAGGTGTAACTGGCCTTTGTTGGTGATTTGGAGATGGAGTCACTGTCGCTTATTTCATTGACAGACTCGTTGGATAACAAGTTTGATCGTTTCAAACTCTTTGCCCATCCAAAGATGGACCCTCTGTTATTTGGAGATTGAGAATGGCTCATGGATGCGCTTATCGATTGACACTAACGCAGAAGGAGCAAGGATAAAAGTTGTGTTGCTTCTTAATTCAAGAAAGGTGATTAGGCAAAATGTAGGCGCTGCTCTGTGATACGTGATAAATAAGTGAATGGAGAGCAGCTATCTCTGCAGCTGCCAGTGTTGTTATTCAAATAGATGGTGCTTTGCGTGTAGTGGCCTATAGAGTAGATATGAGTGTATATATCTTTCCCTTATTGCGTATAAACTATGTATCTGGTGTATAAATGTGTATATATGTGTATATATGTGTCTGTGTCTGTGTCTGTGTGTGTGGGTGTTGGATAGTATGTTTGACTTTCATGCGTGTAAATTTTTTTTTTTTTTTTTATTAAAATTTTTTATACACACACGTACACTACTACTACACACAATACTAAAGGTTTATCTCTCTTTGTTGTTTAATTATTACACCTCAATAAAAGAAGAAGAAGAGAAAATATTTTGATACTAAAGCTAAACTGAGTAACGTGTGTTTGGTGAGAACCTTTTACTTATGCTCATCCATCTTTGAATGTATTTGCATTACAAGCAGAGCGTAATGAAATCGCAAAAGAAGAATGCTACAAAAGTGCAGTATCAGCAGAGAAAATGTAGACTCATTATTTCAAAAAGGATTTTTCAAAGCTCCTACCAGACTGTGCCCTCTTTAGAGCGGTGATGTATCAGCCAGGTTCTCTCCTTTCTTTTTGTAGTACCGGGATGCATAAGATGCCAATCCCCGCAATAGAATTCGATTTTTTTTAAAAAAAAGAAAACAACCACAGAAACAACTTAAAGATGGAGTAAGAATCATGGCTTCAAGACGATGACATACAGTGATACACCGAAGACATCTAAGCTCTTATTTTCTCGTCTAATCTGAAAGTCTGTCGTCTCTTCCTTTTGCATTTACATCTGCATCAAGGTTTTTCACTGGTACGTGTAATATATATGAAAATAAAAATATCGATACGCGTGTTTTGAAGAAAAAGACCATTTTAAAAACACAAAACCCAAGGTAGTGTATATTTGTGAATTTTCTTTGTCGTAGCTGAGTCATGTATTTTTTTCCTTTGATTTGTATTGTTTACACCCCCCACACACACCATCATCAAGAAGCACTGTGTAACAATAAAAGAAAGCATAATCTTGCGTAAGTTGCTATGGCAAACAATGTCCACACAGAGAAGGGGCATACCTAGGAAAGTATGTGTGTACCTGAGCTCAACACTTTCAACAAATAGTTTTTTCCAACAGCACCACGCCACAGATCTGCAGACAAACAACAACTCTCAGCCTCGAGTGTTTTGAATTACGCTGACGCAGCTCTTTTAAAAAAGAACTAAAAATCGTGAAGTGCATTTACCTCTTCATACTTTGCCTCAGCTGTTGAGTTGACACCTGACAGTTACTCGAATTCTATTTATAGATAAAGAAAAGAAAACAAAAGAAAACAATACAAATCAATACAACTTCGTCGTGCTACTTCTTGACTTTTCTGTTCTTTATAAGATGCGCTTGCTTCAGTCACTAATTTCTAAGCATCGTATTCGTTTGCCGCCCCCACGTCTTTCAGTGTCCAAAGCCACGTGGTAAAGAAATTTCCTCTATCTTGACCTATTTCATTTGTCTCTTTTATTGGGAGAGAAATTGTTTACTTCAGAATTATCAAAATCGCCATTTTGTGTCATATTCAATGCATTCAATGTGTGACAAAAACTGAAAGTAAAACATTGTTTTTTAATATTTTAGACTCTTGAAAAGAGTCTAGACCAAAAGTGAGACCAAATTTGATATAATTTCTTCAATCTTTAGAAGAGGGCTCTCTTTTTTTGTTTTCATCTACATATGTCACCTAATAATACAATTCATGCATTCTCTTGTATCCTATATCTTCTGGCTGACCAAAGATGTGTTGCAGCAGATTCTCCAAACGTGGTCCTAAGTCGAACAACACTCAAGTTGAGAGTTCTTATCGTAACTACCTTCTAACTTCTCTCACCGTACAAAACACAAGCAAGTTTACACAGATAGAATGAAACCAAGACTTAATAGTACATCTTCTTCCGAGACAAACGAACTGCCAAGGTCGTTTGATTTTCAAAGGCTTTTTACGCAAATTTGGACCAAAAGGTTACAGGAAATAAAATATTAGCTGAAAAGAAGCTATCAAATAGAATGATACACATCTATATAAATCGAAATTATCATACAAATAAAAACCGAAAATTTTTAGTAACAACTTAAAAAGATGCTACCTTACTAAATATCAAGGAAAAGCAAATACCAACTGAATGCATGGCTCTACCACTTCAGAAGCATTCTGTTCTCTACCGAAAATGAAAATGAACAATAAACTTTATTTAAAAGACCCAGATGAACTTGGATTTAAGCAGGATAAAAGAGAAAAGATAACTTCATAGCTGTTGCAAAAAGGGAAAGCTCTTACAACAAAAGGGCAGCGAATACAACAATAGTACTCATCAAGCTCATTGATAAACCGTAAGACCTCGATCCTGCATTGGCAGCTGCAACAGTTTGAGTTTCATTACTGACTTCGGAAGCACTGGTAGCATGTACTTCATTATCACCTGATGATGCATTTGAAGTCACTTCGATTGTTACCGTAACACTTTCTTCTCCCTGTTGACCTTGTTGACCAGCTTCACCAGTCTCTTCAACAACATACACCGTTTTAGCAACAGCAGCGACAGTTTGTCTAGCCTCAGAAGCTTTTGACGCAGCTTGAGATGCTTCAATCACAGCAGAATATGCTCCTGCTGCAGCAGACTGTGCATGAGCAATAGCTTCAGATGATTGTTGCAATTCAGCTTCACTTAACTGGACTTGGGCAGCTGACTTTTGTTGTTCGGCGGCCGATTTTTGAACCGATACGGCTAACTCATACTCCGACACAACGACTTCCAATGTCTTTTGTGCTTCTTGCTCAACAGAACTGAGCGAGCTAATTTGGCTTTCACAACTGTACTCAATCTCCGTCTTGGTGATTTGTTCAGCACTCGACTTGACTGAGTTTAACGAAGAAATAGCAGATTCACAAGACACAATCACTGACACAATACTTTGTTGTTTTTCGATACATGTAGATTGAACAGCAGCAGCGCTTGTTTGGGATGCATGGGCCTCACTTTGGACCGAGCTGGCTGACTCCTGGGCACAGTATTCACTGACCTTGGTGACGACAATAGTTGTAGTTAACGTGGAAGCAAGTCCATCTTCATCGGTTGTTGTCACCTCTGAAGTTACAATCGAAGTTAGTGGATAAGACTCTTGTGAAACATCTGACAGCTGAGAGACTCCGGTCTCGGTAGTTTCTGCTGATCCTGTTGGATCACCACTTTCAGATGCAGATGGTGTAGCACTTGCTACATCACTAGTTGAAGACTCTGGTGCACTCAAAGAACCAGCAACAGCTTCAATGGCAACACACCCTTCACCATCAACAACACGGACATCGTAACCCACTTCAGCTGGACAAGCGTAGAATTGAACTTTATCTGCACGTTTCATAAATCTAGCTGACGAAGATAGAGTTAATGTTACTCGGTTGTTTTCAAGACCCCATCCGCTTGTCGCATTGTCAATATCACCAACAATTAGCTCTCCAGCAGTTCCCACATGGATGTAACCTGATTCCTTAACTTGGAGTAGGCCATCGGTAATTGTAAATTGCACTTCAGAACCATCAAATAATTTAATATGGGTACTATTGGATTCAAATGTGGTGATCTCGTTGTTGAAAAAGACAGAAATGACAAATGGCTCACTCGGGGTACCCGATTCAGTTGGTAATGTAGTTTCAGAAGATGATTCAGTAGAAGATTCAGTGGATGGTTCAGTGGATGGTTCAGTGGAAGATTCAGTGGATGGTTCACTTTCTCCACTTGATGATGATGAAGACTCAGAAGCCGATGGCTCGGAGCTGGAATCTATGGTAGAACTGAGTGGTGCGGCAGTAGCAGCAGATGCAAGCAACGAACTAACACTTGCAGGTGGCATCCAGTATGGATCCCAC